AAAGCACGGATTTACATATTACTAAGGCTTTCACCGATACATAAGAGAACTAGAAAGGCCAATATTGCTTGGAGCAAATACAGCGATGGGTTCACCACATTTTACGACATGGCAAGGGAAAGAAATGGGAAACACAAGGGAAAACAATGATTTATATAACTATTAATATGAAGTAAAATACAACTAAAACAACAGTTAGATAGCTATTCCCTACTTTATTGGTAGGATTTTTAATTGCATAATGCAAACTGTTGATTTTCAAATAAAAAAAAACGTCCATGCCCGGCATTCCAATGCTGGAGCAGGAAAGCTTGAAATACCTACCAAAACACTTGAATACAGACATACTGTCAGTATGGAAATGCTTCTGTGCAGGTGTTAATCAAGTTAAATCCCAACAGCCAATCAGCAAGAAGTATAGAGGAAAGCTGCATGCCTATTGGTTGACGCCCTGCATTCCATTGTGATGACTCATGCCCAAACGTGGTAAACAAGGCACACTAACACAGTAATACATTTGCTATAACACAGCCAAAAAACTCAAATAAAACCACTCTAAAAGCCTGTATCACAATAATTTAAAAAAACGCCTAGGGGTATTTGCCCACTGTACCTCCATACCAAATTTCAGGACCTTGGGCCCTAAAATGAAGAAGCTGAATCCATTTAAAAAATGGTAGGAGAAGAAGGAGGAGGAGAAGAAGAAACATCAGAAAAAGCAATATGGTTTCACCACACCACTTCGTGGTGTGGTGAACCCATAAAAACAATAACACAACTGTTCGTAAGGAAATTCATTCTGTACATGATACATCTAACTGAAAGACAGCAAATGGTTGTTACACACACAGAAATTCATGCTGAAAGTACATGTACATGTACTACATGTACATGTAGATACGTCTTGCAAAGATGTCACTTTCAAATGGATGGTTGAGAAGTTTCAAATACCTTTAAATATTTCTGCTTAATTTTTGCCAGAGATGGTATAAGAGATAGACTCTAATCTCCTATATTATAACCTATGCATGTACATTGTTTCTGGATGGCTTTATTATTATATTATATGCTGAGTAAGCTCATGTCCTTAACGAGAACTGTGTTGGCATCTTCATTTTGCTCCTCCGGTTGTCTGTTACCGACTACTTTCTGTCTGTGTCTCTCCTCTTGCCGTTTCTTCTTCTCCAATCTCGCCTGTCCCCTGCGTACCTTAGTTTGAGGTTGCTTCTGGGAAGAAAAAAAAATAATAAAAACCGTCAGTGACTTTCTTAAAAAATCTATTATCCATGTCTGTTACCACATTCTGGAATTGAATTTTTAAAGTTTATTGCAAATACTTGTCCGAGGGCTAATTGCAGTTACAAACAACATAAGAAAGAAAATACAGTGGTATGTGAGACTATATCTACGTCTTGCATTATACATGATTGTACTATATTCTACAACATACATGGTACTAGTTTTACTGGGTTTAATACATACACTCTTAATAATTATCCTGCTGCCAAACCCACTAACCAATAGAGAATTGGTAACCAAATGGCTACCTGAGTGCAATAAATGTTCTAACACTTTAAAAAGCTAGATGGACCCTAAAATGGTCTCTACATAGAGCATAAATACTTAAATCATTGCTTGGAGAAATCAGCATAAGAAGGTTCTTTAATCAACAAACAGTTGCTTTTGCATCTATTTTCCAGTCGCTTGCCAACCTGATGAAATTATTCACAGATACATTATGTACATGATTGTCCATGACTGTATACAACTTCAGGTTGACCGATTCACTTCTGCAGAATGTAATATGCCTGTGCAAAACCCTGATTTTTCCCGGTTTTCGTTGGATATTTGGTCAACGTTGAATCAGAACTTTTCATGTTTCAGAGGATACTATTTTCTGACACAACATTTGAAAACTACAGACAGGATGTTAACCTTACATGTGTGAAGAATACAACCTTTTATATCATACCCGGGCCGCGATAACGTTCGATAACGGGTTCTGGACCAGGCCATACTTTACGGAACCCGTTATCGAACGCTTCCATGGCTTCCATAAAACGATTCGAACAGATTTTGCCCTAACCGCGTGTGCCCCTTTCGAAAATTCGAATACAGAATCCAGACGTTGGAATTGATGTTGTTGCATTTTAGGGTTTAGTGGCACCAACTTTTGGCTCATCTTGCATTGAAAGGCGTGTTTTCTTGGGTGGGTATGACATAAATAAACTAGAAAGGCCAATATTTGCTTTGGAGCAAATACAGCGATGGGTTCACCACATTTTACGACATGGCAGGGAAAGAATGAGAAACACAAGGGAAAACAATGATTTACATTGATATAACTATAATATGAAGTAAAATACAACTAAAACAACAGTTGGATAGCTATTCCCTACTTTATTGGTTAGGATTTTTAATTGCATAATGCAAACTGTTGATTTTCAAAATAAAAAAAAAAACGTCCATGCCCCGCATTCCAATGCTGGAGCAGGAAAGCTTGAAATACCTACCAAAACACTTGAATACAGACATACTGTCAGTATGGAAATGATCTGTGCAGGTGTTAATCAAGTTAAATCCCAACAGCCAATCAGCAAGAAATGCTCTGTGCAGGTGGAAATGCTCTGAGCAGGTGTTAATCAAGTTAAATCCCAACAGCCAATCAGCAAGAAGAATAGAGGAAAGCTGCATGCCTATTGGTTGATGCCCTGCATTCCATTGTGATGACTCATGCCCAAACGTGGTAAACAAGGCACACTAACACAGTAATACATTTGCTATAACACAGCCAAAAAACTCAAATAAAACCATTCTAAAAGCCTGTATCACAAAAAACGCCTAGGGGTATTTGCCCACTGTACCTCCATACCAAATTTCAGGACCTTACGCCCTAAAATGAAGAAGCTGAATCCATTTAAAAAATGGCAGGAGAAGAACAAGAAGAAGGAGAAGGAGAAGAAACATCAGAAAAAGCAATATGGTTTCACCACACCACTTCGTGGTGTGGTGAACCCATAAAAAGCGTACTAAGTATGCATGAAAGACCCACCATGTCGTTGGTGGACTGCTTCATCGTTTTCTTCTTGTCTGTCGCATACGTGTCCCAAGTCTTCTTCGGCTTATCATGTTCATCCTCCATCAGTAACGTCTGCCTAGTACGTATCTCCTGCAGCGTATCTATCTCCCGCTCGAGCTCATCCCTCTCCAGCTTAAACCTATCAATCCCCTTTTTCAACTGATCCTTTTTCTGCTTCAACTGAAACGTCTCCTGCTTTAATCGATCTCTTTCCTGTTTAATCTGATCTCTTTCTTGCTTTAACTGATCCCTCCCCTGCTTAAACTGACCCATCTCCTGCTTCAACTTATCCGTCACCTGCTTTAACTGATCTCTCTCCTGCTTCAACTGATCCCTTTCTTGCTTCAACTGAAATCTATCCTGCCTAACCAGATCCCTCTCCTGTATAAGCTGATCAATCTCCTGTTTAATCTGATCTGTATGCTGCTTGAGCTCTCTCTCCTGCTCTAATACACCTAATTCCTTCTTCAGCATACGCATGTCCTGCTTTAGCATGTCTATCTTTTGCTTAGTCTGATCCATGTCCTGTATCCTTAGTTTGTATTATGATAGAGTGGCCATTTTTGGGTCCAGTTCAGTCTTATGGTTCAGAAGTGGTGTTCAGTATGATTCAACTAAAAAGCAAGAGGTAAAGAAAACAAACAGAAATGAAAAAAAGATAATTCAAGATGATAAAGAACGCCTAGACAGCAACAAAACTTTATTCTATTTTATTTTATTTTCCGTCATTTTTATACAGGGTAACCCAATTCAGTGATGGCACTGCTTTTCAACGGGGCCCTGTATTACACAGCACAGTACAACAATCACATACAAATAATAACATTAGTATGCAAAAATTAGACAATAAATAATTATAATGGCAGTGATAATAACGAAAACAATAAATAAATTATAATGGCAATGATAATAACGAAAACACAGTAATTAACCAATAACAGTAATAAATAGTAATAATAACAAAAAAATACATCATTGCCCAGTCCAGTCATTGTCATTGTCCAGTCCTATATGTTGGCATGGATGGGTCAGAGGTCAGGCCAATTCTTACATTTCATTTTAAAAATGGACATGGACGGACAGGTCTTAATAGCAGTTGGCAGCCTGTTCCAGAGGGCTACGTGCTAACATGTACCCCAATGGATGAGAGCCTGCATGCTTTTTTTTTGGTTAAGCGTTGTGGGCTATTTCAATTCACCGTTATTCGTTACTGGCGCGCTCTAACTCAACGTTAAGCGTTTTCGATATGTTCATCGTGTAGCATTCTTGATCGTCGTTATTTCTCATCAAGAATTCAGCGTTAAGCGTTAACAAAAAATCACGTTATGCCTAGACCTATGTAGCCTATACGTCAGATGGCTCTTAGCGTCCGCTTATCTTTGTTTCCGTACTCATGCCACACAAACCATGAATACAATGAAGCAGTTCGAATTCGTTCCCATAAACATCTTATGCAGACTGTCTTGAAAGATTTATTAGATTTTAAATTTTCTATTGGTTTTCCATGGTACTTTTAAGAGTCATTGCACAAGAAAACCAGGCCAAACCAGGCAGAGGTCGGAAGATGGGGAAGATTTACAGCCATATAGTTAAAACCCTCCAGGTATTTTTCGTTATGGAGTTCTTGGACCCCCCCTCTTAGACCCTCAAAAATCTAACAATTTATGCCTGAAAATTACTAAAATTACAATGGACACCACGGTTATTCTTATAATGATATGAACATGGGGTTTCTACTTTTACAAACAAAAATTGAAGAACCAATGAAATCAAGATTTCCATCTTTCTAAATTTTAGTCATTTTTAAGCAGCTTTTTCTCCGTCACGCGGCTATTTTGATAAACGGTTTTACCGTTGCTTGAAAAAGAAACATCTGCTGGTTTTCTGAACAGTGAACAATTTAGTATTTTCTATTTAGAGCTCATTTTCAGCTTGTACAATTTGCTATTTATGAAATCATCATTAAATGAAACGCTTTATACTTGGATTGTTTAAAAAACATCTTAAATGAACTGAGCATATCGTAAATGTCTTTAAGACTATATGACATCAAGGTGATTACCAAAGGCTGTAAAATAATAGTATCGAAAGTATATATAGAATACAACACGGTGTATTCCGTATCGCCCGAGGTACCAGCCCGACCGCGCGTCGGATCGCCCGACGGCCGAAGGCCGGAGGGAGATCCAATCCGCGGGAGGGCTGGGACCGAGGGTGATGCGGAATACACCGTGTTGTATTTTATTTATGTCATACCCACCCAAGAAAACACGCCTTTCAATGCGAAATGAGCGAAAATTTGGCGTCCGTAAGCCCACTAAAACGCAACAACATCAATTCCAAATGTCCAAAGTTTGTACTCGAATTTTCGAAAGCGGTGCACACGGTTAGGGCGAAACGCGTTCGAATCTTTCTATGGAACATTTGGAAGGCCCGGGCCGTACGGGTTTAGAACCCCCAGGCCGTACGGATAGTTATCACACGGGCCGGAACACCCGTATCGAACGTAATCGCGGCCCAGGTAGGACATAAATATTCAATATAGTCTGGAAGTTGGTTTTAATCATATATATATATATATTATGATTGAGAATTTTAGTTTGTACGGCGTTCCAAAAGTGCACCTTTGGAGACGCTCCTGCAAGCTTCGCAATCGTGACAATCCCCCGCCTCGGGCATCTCTTTTTGCAAAACTTATCTTTTCAGAAATGAAACATAAAAATGTGAAAAGTTTGACAGGGCTCATTTGTACCGACTTGTCTGGGGTGCGGGGGCATGAAAATTTAGAATGTATCAGGAGAACCGTGCATATTTATTGTAAACATCATTGACCAAATCTTGATTTAAATTTTCTACCTGCTAATAATCTAAGTGAAACAAATTCAATCAAAATCATTTCATACTTAATTCTTAGATTTTAAAACATATCATATTATACGTCTGTGATCTATAATAAGTTAGTTCTGTTATAGTTAGAGCTAATGATAATTTACATATGAAATGAGACTTTTCATCTCTCTTAATTTTAGTTCCCCAGAAACAGGAACACCATTCTTGGATAGAAGACATGTTTCATTTCTTTCAGAAACAAGTCTTGTCTAATTACTCGACCACACATAAATGGGCCATGGGGCTGTCAGATCATACAAATCGATCAGATAAAATGTCGCACTGAAGGGCAATATATGGCCGTTTTTGTGAAGTTGGAGGAAAACCATGCATAGTACTGTTGTCATAAATGATACCGGATAAGGGGGCTCTGCATGGTGGGGGGGGGCATAAGGTAGCAGAAAACAGTATCAACCCTAAACAGTACACCTGGGGTCCGCGCGGACCCCAGCACTATATATTCTGTAATATCTTTTTTGTTTCTAAAGATTTTTTTCTGAAATTTTAGGTAGTTGTCACCCACAAAGTTGTCTCTCAATACATGGCAGAAAACTCCGTTTCTACCGTTTATAAAAAATTATATCTGATTTTCTTTTGGGGTCCGCGCGGACCCCAGCCGGCTTTCGATCATAATGGATACACTTGCGTTCTTATACATTACCTTATTTCCGTTTTTATATGTTTTTATGCACTCATCGTATATCTACCACGTTTTCAGAGAATGGTGTAGTAATAGAATTAAATTTTAATTCTAGAATGTATCAAACAGGGTAGGTGGCGCTTTTAGGGGCAGCCGCGGTATTTACCTCTGTCCCTAAAATTGACGTTTTGTTGCTTACAATTGAGTTGTTTTGGTATCGACGCTAGTTTTAAGTACGTCTGAACAGTTGCTGATCTTTTTGGGAATTCTCCTGACTTGCTACGGGTACGATCCTTGCCTCATCCCGGCAGTTTTTTATGCGGCCTGTATCGGTGGCTTCGAAGTTGTGCACCAGTCATGGCGGCCCTTCACAGGTATACGTCTGGATTCATCCGGGCCTGCCGAAGTCTAACACAGCACCTGTTGCCACAAGAGAAGACAGCACTCAAAGAGGTAGGTCTGCTAAAGATGCGTACCAGACCAAGAGGTTGTAAAGGTGGGAAAAACCGTATACGTCTCATTCCAACCACCATTGGAAACAGGCCAGCCTCAATGGAACAGGCGTCTACTTTGATATTCAAATCACTGCAATCCACTGCAAATCACATCAACATACCAACCCATCACCAGTGCATTCCTGATGACAGTGTTTTGCCTCACGTCCATACCGGGCATCAGACTGCAGGAACCCATAACCCGGCGGAACCTGATCAACCCCCTGCAGCTGTCATCAAGGACATACCTGTTGTGAACCTACCAAGACTCACCTACTCCAGACGGCGACAGGTTGTACCTGTTTCAACTACGAACTCTAAGACTGAATGTCAGATTGTTGTGCCAACTGTTCTTCTTTGCAATGCTCGCTCCTTGGCAAATAAACTAGACGAGTTTCAAACAGTATTGTTAAATGAAAATATTGATGTAGCAGCTGTTTCAGAAACGTGGTTCAGTGATGACGCTCCCGTTGACCTTTGGTCAGTTGATGGGTACAACGAGTTCTGTAAATCCAGACATGACAAACGTGGAGGGGGAGTTGCCTTGTATGTTAGAGATAGTATTGTTGCACGTAAACTGACTACAATTGAAGTACCTGATAATGTTGAATGCATGTGGCTCATGTTAAGGCCCAGGCGCCTCCCTAGAATGGTTACGTCAATTATTACTTGTGTAGTGTATGCCCCACCTCAGTCTCCAAGTGAAGACACGTTAACCCTAAACAGTACACCTGGGGTCCGCGCGGACCCCAGCACTATATATTCTGTAATATCTTTTTTGTTTCTAAAGATTTTTTTCTGAAATTTTAGGTAATTGTCACCCACAAAGTTGTCTCTTGATACAATGCAGAAAACGCCGTTTCTACCATTTATAAAAAAAATTATATCTGATTTTCTTTTGGGGTCCGCGCGGACCCCAGCCGGCTTTCGATCATAATGGATACACTGGCGTTCTTATACATTACATTTTGTACCTTATTTCCGTTTTTATATGTTTTTATGCATTTATCGTATGTCTACCGAGTTTTCAGAGAATGGTGTAGTAATAGAATTAAATTTTAATAACTTTGGTGTAATTATGACGTCATATTACGTCAGAGCTAATAATATAGTCCGCCATATTGGATTTTGACCAATGACGTCATCAAATTAGCATATTCTATGCATATTAAATGATTTAACTTATATTTAATTATGTAAGATGTTATTAATGTTGGAAAAGAAGTGTAATTTTATATAAAACTCAGAAAATTTTTATGTTTAAACCAAAATTACTTCTATTTTCAAAAAAACTACCCGTTGCCATGGCAACACACAAAAAACATCAACTTACTAGTATAAAACTAATATGAACTTTTTTCCAGAGACATTTTAGGAAAGGTCTCCAAATTTGATACTTCTAGCCCAAGCCGTTTAGCCGCTATCTGAGATCAAAGTTGGGCCTCAAAAGCCCCTTCAGTCTGAAATGGGTTTAAAAATCGGGTATTTCTTCTTGTCTTCTTTTCTTCACCAAAAAATAGAAAAAGTTCAAAATGTATGATTTTTGTATGTAATGTGGACACAGAGGTTCCCACATCAGTTTGCAAAACAA